TGTTATAAATTTGTTGTGCTATTTATTTTTTAATTTGATTTGAGCAGTAAATGTGGGCTTTATATTGAGTAAAATTCAAATTGTCATGGATCCTTAAAAGGTACGATAACTGGACACAGCATATATGGGCCACCTTTAGCTGGAGGCCCCTTTTGGGACCATCCATATTTAAGTCATTATAACTCCATAATCTTGATTTGAAATCGGTTGTTGCATTAGTCTTCTTTTTAACTTTTTGACTCCATTGACTTATTACTATCAAACGTGTGTGGCGAAGTGGATGAGATTGATCTTTCTTCAAGTAGAGATCTCGTATATATGTTTGTTTCAATTAATTTGAAAATGAGATACGATTCATGTATAATCAAACATACCCGTCCAATGAAACAAAGTAAATTTAAATGTTAATTATGACAACAACGTGAATACTCCTTTAATCAAGTTGCGTATGATTATAATCTCTAATTAGGCCCACCCAAATACATTATAGTAATATAATAGGGTAGTGTTGATGCAGAAAAGCAATAACGATAGTTGGCAAGCAAAGTGTGTTTTTGTTGCTTATAAACAGAGAAAAAAGGGAACAATTTAATGATGACAGTAATAATTTTTCCTGCTTGTGTGTATTCTTACAAAGTGGATTTTCAAAGTGCTTTTTGAATCCTCCACCAAGCTTTCCTCTTCTTCCTTCAAACCCTAGAGAGAGAAAAAAGAAGATTCTGATCTGATTCATCATCAAAAGGAAAGTGGGTACAAGTTTGAAGACAGAGATTTTTGGAAAAGAAAACACATCAATTTCATCATCATCAGTATATCTTTTTGCTGTTTTTCAACCTACATAATCATTTCACCTAGACTTTCTTACAAACACCTTATCTTCATGGATCTATCATAGTCCGACTTCCTTGGTGAAAGATAAACTGAAGTTTCAACTTTCTTTGTTACATTGAAGAAAAATGGCGCACACGGAGCACCCCACCACCAAAGGCCAAGCATGGTGAGTAACAATAGTATATTTTCCATTTTCTTCTTCTTCTTCTTCACGTATTGTTAACTCAGATTCACTGTTTTACAGGTTTTGTACTACAGGATTACCCAGTGATATCATCATTGAAGTTGAAGATATGACCTTCCATCTTCACAAGGTTGGTCAGTTGTGTGTTGAATGAATAGATTCTGAAATGATAAATATGTGTTTGTTTATTTTTGTGTCGGTTGTTTCAGTTTCCCCTGATGTCAAAAAGTAGAAAGCTTCATGAAATGATAACAGAGCAAGAGACAAATGCAAGTAGCAGTAAAATCCAAAAATCTGCTGAACGAGACAACGATTGTGATGGTGATGAGGAGATTGAAGAAGAAGAGGATAATGAGGAGGACCAGCAATACTGTATTTCGTTCCCTGATTTCCCGGGAGGTTCAGAGACATTTGAGACGGCTGCCAAGTTCTGTTATGGTGTGAAAATCGAGTTGTCTGCATTGAACGTTGCTCCACTCCGCTGTGCGGGTGAGTACTTGGAGATGACTGAAGAGTACTCTGAGGATAACCTCATTTCCAAGACGGAGAGGTTTCTTTCACAGACAGTGCTAAAGAGTATTAAGGACTCCATTAGAACCCTAAACTCGTGCAAAAACATCTTGCCGTTAGCAGAAACACTCGGCATTGTTCAGAGATGCATTGATGCCGTTGCTGTTAGAGCTTCAGCTGCCGATCCGTCTCTCTTTGGCTGGCCGGTGAATGATCACGGCCCTGGAAATGGAGTTGAAGCAAGTACTCGCCGTAAAGGTGCCAACAGAGGAGGTGGTATGGATTCATGGTTCGAAGAGCTAGGGCACTTGAGCTTGCCTTTGTTCAAGCGTTTGATTTCTGCAATGAAAAGTAGAGATTTGTGTTCAGAAGTTATCGAGAGCTGTCTAATGTATTATGCGAAGAAGTACATTCCAGGAATTTCACGCTCAAGTAGGAAGACATCGTCGTCTTCGATACCATCGGAGAATGAACAGAGAGAGCTTTTGGAGACTGTAATTACCAACCTTCCTACAGAGATTAGCTCAAGAACTTCAACAACCACAAGGATTCTCTTCGGCTTATTGAGAACAGCAAACATACTAAATGCTTCGGAAGCTGCTCGAGCTGCACTAGAGCGGAAAATCGGATCTCAACTGGAGCACGCCACATTAGACGATCTTCTCATTCCAAGCTACTCTTATCTGAATGAAACGTTATACGATGTCGCTTGTGTGGAGAGAATATTAGGATATTTTTTAACCGGATTGGAAGAGAGGTCTACCGCTAGAATTCAAGGCGAAGAAGAAAACATCAGTGTCAGATCCACGGCGCTAATGTTAGTCGGCAAGTTAATTGACGGTTACTTATCAGAAATAGCCTCTGATAATAATTTACTACCGGAAAAATTCTGTGAATTAGCTGTTGCATTGCCGGACCAAGCAAGACTCTTTGATGATGGCCTTTACAGAGCTGTCGATGTGTATCTCAAGGTAATGACATTTTCTTAATTATAGAAGTTATTCACTTTTTTAGTTCTATCATTTGTGTTTAATATTGTTAACTTAATTCCTTATGCAGGCGCATCCATGGATATCGGAAGCGGAGAGGGAGCAAATATGCGGAGTTATGGATTGCCAAAAGTTAACACTAGAGGCGTGTACACACGCAGCTCAGAATGAACGGCTTCCACTTAGAGCCGTAGTTCAGGTACTATTCTTCGAACAACTCCAACTCCGGCAGGCAATCGCCGGAACTCTTATGGTCGCCGATGTGAATCCAGAAGAAATCCCGCGGCTGTCAATTATGGACGTGAGGGAAGAGGAGGGTGAAGGTGGGGAGCAAGAGGAAATGACAGGAGTAGTTGGAATGGGACGTGCACAGGAAGGTCGTAGCACGTGGAGGAAAACAGTGAGGGAGAATCAAGTGCTACGGTTGGATATGGATAGCATGAGGACGCGAGTACAAGAACTTGAGCGCGAATGCTCCTCAATGAAGAAAGTAATCCAGAAGATAGATAAGGTAGGCAGCAGAGAAGGAGGAGGTGGGTGGAGAAAGAAGTTGGGATGTAAATTCAAGACACAAGTATGTGACTCGCATGAGCCAACGGTTGTGGAGGCCAAGAAAGGACGGGGACAGCGTCATCAACAATAAGAAACAAATCAATTTCTTTCTACTACCTAATGGTCTCTACTTTTAGTTTTAAATTATAACACATCTGTTGTGCCGTAATTGAGAAATTTGTTCCCAACTTACTACTCCATTCTTTAGTGAACAGATTCTTTTTTGTTTGTAAGTTGTTGCGGTTTTCTATATTTAGCTCTCAATGATGACAAAGGAAAAACACGGTAGTTGGAGAATTAAATTCAGTAATGTAACGTGTTTGAAAATTTGAATTTCACCACTTCCTTAAAAATTGCTCTTAATTAGGTGGGAAACTACTACGTATAATACTCCACGTATCTACTAATCTGACTATGATGATGAACTACTTTATATTTTGATGAAATTTGAAGTAGCTTTATATATATATACTAATAGAGTTCACTTACCTTGGGAATTTGGAGTTTTAATTGGACAGCAAAATTAAAGAGTGCATAGTACTAAAAAACTTTGATGGAGAGAGAAATTCGTGTTGGACTGTTTAATGATCGGGTGGCCCAACAGTTCGGCATTATGTCATAATGCAACAAAATGAGCATTGCTGGCCTGAAAAGATGTGTCGAACGAATCCCTTTCATTAAAGAAGGATAAAGTGTTTCTTCTCCTTTTAAAACAATTTCTCTTTCTCATTTGCCTTTGCTAATCGAAAAGCAGCTCAATTATTTTATCATGCACCACTGAGAACCAACACTTCACTTGAACTTTATGAAAGAAGGTAAACAGAATAATAGAGATCGTAGAAAGATAAAAAAAAAATGAATCCTAATTTGTGCAGTGAAACTAAAGAAATTTACTCTTGGTTTGGTCATTCCATTAGCAAAAATTATGTACTGGAGTACATATTAGAGAGCTAGAGCTAGCTGTTAAATATGGGCTAAAAGTTTTATTTATGAGAAGTGCTACATTAATTATTGTGAGTAATAGCTTTACATATTTTTCAAACATGTAAATTTAATTATCAAATCAAACAATGCCATGTATATTAACAGAAAGAAAAAACAATATAACTTTTGGTCATCCTAGCAAAGCAAACCTCAAAGACCACGAGTAAGAAGACAACGAGAAAATATACCAAAAGACGCAAAGATTTAACGTGGTTCAGTCAATCAATCTACGTCCACAAAGAAGATGAGCAATCCACTATAAATATGAGAGTACAAAATACAGAGGGAAACAACCTCAACCAGTTCACTCGGAATACATGGGAGGTTTACACAAGTGATAACATATCAAACTTGTGACCCACAAATTCTCCCTCTAACCAAAACTCTCAAAGCCCTTAAGACTACCTAAGAACTTTTCCTACAAGAAAAGAATTAGTCAATCCAAAACCTTTTTCTAAAAGAAAAACCTATTTATGGTAAGAAATTTAGGACAAATAAAACCTAACAACCATCTGTCATCATATAATTCTAATCAGTAAAATAACAAAATTATTATTTACAATCAAGTCAAAGACATTAAGTTAATATTTATATCTAAAAGTCAGATACCTAAAAAGAAAAATGTTCTGTGTACTGTTCAGATTATTCTCAAATTTTTCTTCAATTGATATTTTGGTTGTTAGTCATTTATGTCTACTTGAGGCAAAAATGCCTGATACTTGGCCTTCAAAAGGTCATACTTCCAATAAAAAATATCCACAGTCTAAACACATATTTTCATTAAACTCGACAATTTTTTTTTGCAAAAAATCGATTATAAATTAAAAAGAGTATTCGTGCATTGGTCCGTCTGGGACAATGTCTAAGCTAGTTTCTTCACTGGGCCAGGACAACAAAAAAGCCCAGTAGTAGTCAGTTGGGCTCCAGAAGAAGTATTGATTGGGCCTGAAGCCTATCCCTTTAATATAAGGAAACCCTAAACCTACTAATGCCTATAAGTAGAACAGCTTCATTATATCTATGACCTACTCTATCTGCCAAGGAGGTAATTGTTCTTCAGTAGATCTCTTACATTGCATTAAGGATATGATTATATTTTTTTATTTCTGTTTTTGTGTTTAAATCGTGAATGTTGAAGTATTAGTTCCTCAATGATGAACAAACAGATGACGAGTCTGATAATCCATTCTTTTAAAATAATGAAGACAATCGAGGCATTTGTCTGAGAGGAAATCCTATTTGCTACTTCTACCTCGTTATTACTACTTCGCTTTTTGGTTTTTGATTGTTTATGAGATTTTAAATCTGGTATAGCAATCGCTCTTGATTATATAACCAAGTTTTCATTTTTTAAAAAAGAGATTTAAAAGTTTCATTCTGTAGTTCCTTTTGAGTTTAGAGTAAGATTTGCGCTTGAAATGCGTGGTAACATGTTACCAATTCCAAAAATGTTTTCCTTTTGAACTTTTGTGAGATCTGTGCTTTCAATGTGTGATTTTAGGGCTTCACTCCAAAACACGTATGTTTAAAGAGTCGTTATAATTCGATCATGTTCTTCCCTTCATCACACTAATGTTTTGGTTAAAATTTTTTCTGAAATTCGTCTTTCCCATAATTTGAATTTAAACTAGCTACTATTTGTTTTGTGTGCGTGTGTTTTAACATCATAACTTTCATAAATCTATTTAAAATGGGCGCTGGTTATCCCTACAGCAGCTGGATTTAATAATAAAACAAGTTCCAATGGAAGGGCAATAATATAAATGAATGAAGATTACCACAAATATAATCGTAAGAGGGGACTACTTAATTAGCTTGAAAATGTGGGATCCCATAATCAAATAAATGTTAGAATTTAGTAAATGGTTAATTGCTTGACAGGAGAAATGTTAGGTTTTTAAATTTTTTTGACAAATATTACTTGGGTGAAAATTTTGAATCTTTTTGTGTTAGGCCGTAATATTTGGAGAAAATATATTCATTATAGGTTTGTATTAATAGCAAGATAAAAAAACATTGATATAACAAAATTCATGACTTCCGCAATTAGTCAATGCAAACCACTGCTATAGAGAACAGCCGTGAACGCTTTATAGTAATATATGTGAGCATCAGTGTGTCTCAAACGCAGCTCCAAAATTGCTTGCCAAAGGTGATCACTGTGAAGCTTCAGTGACATATTCAATCCCTTGTGGCATCTGCATTTTCCAATTGAATCGTCCTCAGTCCGATAAGAAAATAACCCAGAAAGCAGCCCAGGGGTAGAATTTCGGAAACATTACAGTTTCACCTACAGCTTCTTTGATAGGTCTTTCCAATTGAACTCTTAACAGTCTCTACCACTTCAGGCACAAGATGGGATGTCTCAAAAATACATTTTCCATGTAAGAAGCCATGCTTGTAGTCGTTGATGCCGGGTTGATCCATAAAAGACGAGGGACTTTCTGAAGAAGTTTGTTTTTGGTGCAATCCTATAAAAAGGAGCAGTATTTATAAAAGAACTTCATGAATGTGATAATCTGTGTTAGATCATGAGACGGGGGGAGGCAGTGGGATGCCATTCTTGAGGAAGAAAAAGGGTCCCATGACAGTAGGTAGCTAAGGCAAGATGCCTCGATGGGTGAATGGTTGTGTAGAAGTCAAACTGAGGGTTGCAGCAATATGATCAGGGGCTGATGAAGAGGAATGGCCATTATTTCCAAAATAGTATATAGAATTGAAGGGACCAAAGTGTACAGTTCCTTTGGCAAGAGAGGAAGAAAGAAGACAGGGATCGAGTAATAAGAAGAGCAACAAACAATGACGGCTGCTAAGGGAAGCCATTGAGAAGCAGGAATGAGTAATGGAAAAGAGAAGATGGGCTATGTAGTAGCAGAGTAATTAGTTTGTAATGCAAAGCTCTAAAGAGGCATGCTGTATTTATAGAGCATAACATGTTTTCCAAGGTTATTTAGGGTTTTGTTTCTGTTGCATTACCTTTCTTCTTTCATTTAGCTCAAATTCTATACACAACTCCGGCTTTACATGGAAACTGTACAATCCGTTCCCTTTTCCTATTTTCCGTGGGTGTATGTATGTGTCTGTTTTGAGGGGGAGAGAGAAAGAGAGTTGCTGCCACCAAAAGCAACTGTACAATTTATTTCTTGATTGTACCGTGCTCCAGATCCAGATTATCCTTCAATGTTATGATCACAAACTAGAGACTACATATCTTCAGCACAAAATTAGTGCTTTGTAGGTAGGCATAGAACCAAACTAGGATACAGATGATCTTAGTCGCTACGCTGCACATTATAGGTTGATTTCATGCCGATGCAATCGATGCCATGACTTCAAATAAGAGTTATTGTTCCAACACAAATGAAAATAAAGACATCAGGAATAAAGAAAATATTTCAAATGAATTTTGGCTCTAATTCCTTGTTCTTTCGCTTCTTATGTGGGGGTGGGAGGAGGAGAGAGAGCATCAAAATAGCTCCAAATTCATAAATTAAATAGTAGTATTAACTTACTCCTTGCAAGCCTTGTTATTCAGGACCCGATTCACTGATGGGGTATTTTGGCTCCCTTATGTGACCAAGCTAGGAGACAGTAGGACATGGGAGAGAGAATCTAATTATTGATGATCCATCTGTATCAGCAAGCTAATACATTATCCAGAGAAAAATTCAACTTAAACACGCAGTAGAAAAATTCAGCTCTCTTATTCATGTCAGGAACAAATGGCAGGATAAGTTTACTTTATTTTGACTACCCATCGTGTGCTTGTGCACTCCCCTAGAGCTTGTAATTTGCTATTCCAATGTCCACAAGTTTCAGTTTCACACTTGAACTGAAGAGAGAAACATCAGCCGGTGTAAATTACTTACATATTTGATTAGGATAATATCAGAAAGAAATCTAATCCCCCAAGAAGTTTGATAACATTACCTTTCATCAGAGAATTCACTGTCACCGCAACTTGGGGTGGAAGATTGATCACATTGATGGGATGACTGTCGTGAAGCTCCAAGCAGATAGCTTCTACAGAATGATGCAGTCTCCTTACAGCTTTACGCGCGATAGAAAAAACATTAATTAGGTACACATTTTCTATCATCGTTCATTATTAACACAAACAAGCACTCAAGGACCAATTACCTGGCATGAGTGGCACATCATGAACAGTCATAATATTCTTATTTCCTGCTGCCTTTCTTGAAGACTCAGCCGTGGCAAAGAACTTCTTCTTGCCTTGGTAAAATGGAGGAGCTGAATGACTTTTTGTACTCTTCTTCTTCCTAATAAGCTCATCTGTTTTACCTCGACTTCCAGCATCAATCCATTTATGTAAGTCACCATCCACCCTAGAGGAGAGCATAGCTCGTGGTATCAAATAATTCTTAAGAATCTCTTCACCATGAGATTGCATGTGTCAAATCATCTCCATCATAATAGAATTCAGAAGGACCTGAACCATAAACATCCCATGTAACAAGTTCCTCTATTCTGGACATCTTCTCACTAGAAAGAGCATAAAATTGAGATCACACTTTGCAGTCCTCTTTCTCCAAATTATTTATGGCAGGGACCAAGAGATTACGTTCGATGTTTCCAAAATCATATGTGACAGCAGCCTCATGTTTAACAGGAAATAACCCTCTGTAGGTAAACATTAGAGGAATCTTTATTCTATCTAGATTTTTTCAAAAGTAGCTAAAGAGAAGATAGTGATAAACTACATGATAGCATACTCTTCCACTAACCACCCTCCAGAATCCCCCCCCCCCCCCCATCTTTAAGTGAGGCAAGTGGACGACTGCTACAGCATACAGGGAAGGGAATGTGGAGTGGACAAAAGCTACATGTACAAATCATATCAAGTACAATGAATCCTAAGTGATGTTGCATAAAAATGTCGAGTACAAATGCTTTCACCGACAGAGTGACTTCCAGTCCAGAGATTCGCGACAGTATACTCAACAATAAAAGGAAAGGGTGCAAATCCTAAAAGTACCATTAAGAACCAATTAGTCACCACAAGATATTCTTTTAAAACACATCAAAATAGCTTTATCAGATTAACACAGTCCGTATCAATGGTGCCAAAAAAGGAAGTTATGCTGCACATCAGAGCATTAGAGTAGTGTTATATGTTCAAGTGAAGTCACTTTCTCTAAGATCCAAATCATTTATATTGTTCTCTCATTTATTACTTCAAAAAAGAGAAAGGATAATAACTCAGTAAGGAGGTAAAAGTTGATACCTTTTGAAAACAAAGAACACATAAAAAAGTAAAACTCGAAAGCTCTTGAATCTCTAGAAGGATGCCAAAGATCAACAGTATTAGCATATTTAATAGGTCAAAGTTGTGTTTCCAACCTCCACAACTGAAGAATGAAAATCAACCTAAATTTTTTGATAGGGTTCAATTTTTCTGAATAACGGAATTTTTTGTGGATTAGATGGACCAGGATTGACCTACAAGTGTGAAACTCCTAACAATATGAGCCACCTCTCCACCCTGATCTCAAAAATCAATAAAAGCTGGATGTCATCATCTCCTAAAGATATCAAGGCTCCAAGAAGATTGATGTAGCAAATATCTAGATAAATGAAAATCAAGTAAATTTTGAGGAAAATCGCAAAATTCATTCGAAGGGAAGCAGAAATGATTGGGTAAGAGAACCAGGAGACTAAGTTCAAACCAGAAGAATTGTCAGTCTTGGAGAACAGCAAACACATTGTTATACAAAATTCAATACTCCAATCAGTAAAACAAGTATGTATGACATATGTCCGTCTTAAAATTGGTCTGTTTGCTTTTGCAACCACAGGAAGCTAGAAACGTGGTTTTGCATTATTCTCCCATAACAAAGGGGAGATTATTGTGTTCTCTGGGAATAGATGTGCCGCAAGGGCCTTCTAACTGTTAGGGGTTCCATCTTAATACTTTGAAATCCTATACGATTGGTAATAAATAATGATGTTCGGCAAATTTTAACATATTAATTTCACACATATTGAAGTTCCAAAAAATGATTAGGTGTTTTGAAATAAATTTTACATAAAGCAACCCAAACCAATTCTCACAAAACTAAACCTAAGAAACTCAATTCTACAAAAATAAAACCAAAGACTCACATTCGTTTCCCAATCCCACAACACTTAAATAATAATTGCCAACAAAAACTCTCACCTTAAGTTCCACAGAGGTCATTGAAGGCTCCAAAGTCAAATCATGTAAAGATCTTGAGCAGTTCAGGTTCAAAAAACACAGTGGATAAATCTGAGATCTATTTTGTTGTTACTGTCTCAAAAAAAAATCTGAGATCTATTTCGCTACTCAATGTCAGAAGCACTACCAAAACTCATCTCTATGTTATTAAGTAATTTATGTGTTGGTCTTTTGGAAATAAATCTTGAATTGATATCTGCATTACAAGGAAAACAAGAACACCACTGAAAACAAGCACTGAAGCACCGATATAGTAAATGCACTGTGAGAAACAAGAATTCAATAAAGTGAATGCTAACCCCAACGATTAGTTTCCATTTTCTTTGTTCAGGAAAATATACTGAAATAAGTTCATACAAAAATATTGAAAGACCTGCAAATTAAACAGTGATTGTCAGGGAAATAAAGTGTAGAAAAGATAAACTTATCACATCTCCTATCCATCAACTTGAGCCTGTATACCTTCACTGTGTGAACATACCAGAGATATATCCTGAGAGTTTATATGAACCATCACTTGCATTCAATTTGTTAAGGGAACTCAGATGACACCCGAACCCACTGGACAACAGCAGAAACAGAGAAGGACAAGCACGTGTGCAAAGAAGGTCATCTTCATTGCGTGCAAATGAACAAAATCTGAAGAGAATAAGACAGGAAATATCCTCAACTTATCTGGAATAAACAAAGATGATCCATCATGTATCAGGCTTCTGTGCAACGAACAGCTCCGCGTAAATGGTTTCTATTAAAGCCAAAGCTTGCTGGGGAAGGATGCAAATCATCTGAATGGTTGTATTTTGATGTCGTTGTTGTAAAGGCGCATATAAAAAGTAGAAAGAATGGCCAGACAACAAGGAAACACAAAAGAAGATGAAAGGAATGCGAAGTACATGACATCATACAGTAAAAGCAAAAACAAAATGTAAGCATCAATATTTTGTGTTGCGTACAGCTGTACCAGTTTGCCCAATTACAAGTAAAACCGAAAAACAATAAACAAAAGAACATCTGCAAAAAGATATTAACGTACACAAACCGTCAACAGCCTATCAGTTGAGTAATGCATGCAACCCCTATAGACTACAACAACCATTCCAAGTTATGAACATAATAGTTGTCAGTCCAATATGTTGCAAAACAATTACCATGTCTTTCTCTCCTTGTCCATCTCGTGAGACACCAGATCCTTCAAAAGAAATTACAACTTCAGGGGATGAAGGAAAATAATAAATTGGCCAGAACTTTATGTCCATCAAAATGCATTAGATCAATGTCGCCGATACTAATACTTACCATTATCATCCATCTTAAAGTTCACCTAGGAGAACACAACTTATAAGAATAACAAACATCAAAAGAACAGTCCTACAAGGAAGTAAATCTCATGGAAAAAAGAAATAGTATTGTGATATAAGAATATTCATTTGGGGAAAAAATACTTCGATACTAGAATGGAGCATCATGCTAATAGGAGGAAACGTATATCAATTTTCATGTAAAGCATATGCCCTCGTAATCAGAACTAGCAAACAAAGGAACATAAGAATTAATGAAAGAGTCTCATCGATCACTACCTTTTGTACAACGACTTGCCATATCCTCAGCAGCCCACATCTATTGATCCTCAAGACATTAATTAAATCCGAAAACATAAAATTCCCCATTCTCTTACATGACACAATTTTCAACTCTTAAGAAACAATCAAAATAAAAAATTCTAGACCATGTTCATTTCAAAGAAGAAAAAAAGTCTAGACCATGTAAAAGAAAATGACCACTGAGGGTGTATATGGTAGTCTGTCCAATTAAATGTCTTCATTCAAAGTACTACAAATCACAACTTCTTAAAATTAAACTACTTAATTTTATTTAGAGTTGTGTGTGTGGGGCCTTAAACAATAAAAACTTCACATATTTCCATTCAATGGCTTCATAATTCAATTATAATTAAACCAATAACAACACTACGAGTATTTATCATGACTTCATAATTCAATTACGTTAACGGTTCACCTCCATGCGGCAACCACACTCATCTTTTCCAGTGAAAGAAAGGCCAGCATCTTCAAATTGCTACACCATAACAGGATTCACCTACACAGCACCGGATAAGTTTTTAGCAGTCATCCCTTACTAAAGCTATCACATGGTCCATATATAATTATAAAACCAGTCCACCTAGATGTGCAATAGTTACCCCACAGTTCCAAATTTAAAGGAAAAAAAGTGTTGAACCTCATATCTATGACGTGCCTCTCATCTACAAAGCTCTGGTTGCCAAATCTGAGAAAAGATATAGTTTATCCACTTGGTGATATCAATAGGAGAAATCATCCAGAATTATCAAGATACAGCGAATGCAGTGAGGTTGGAGGAAAGGAAGCACTTACAGTATTGCAGGTTCAGAATTTTTTACTTGAAAATACATTCTTATTAATCCAAGACATATGGTACCACCCATATGTGTGATTGAACCCTGTGAACATGATCTACAGGTTAATGTAAAACACATGAAGATCGTGAGGGAAAATCATGATGACAGGGAAATATCAGAAACAAACTTCCGGCATAAAAATTACACAACTGTGAGTGTTGGGATCAAACTCCGTACTGTTCGCATCTTGCAACCCAGGAATGGATCTAGCATACTCGATAACAGCAATTTGCATGCCTAGACATATGCCCAGGTAAAGTATCCTGTTTTACGGGCATATTTGGCAGCAACTATTTTACCCTCCACACCTTTATCACCAAACCCTCCCAGAACTAATATAACATCCGACCCCAATTAACAGATGAGTCCAACAGATGTCACACATGAGTACATAAAATTAAGTAGGTGTACTAAAGAGTAAGCTCGGCTATCATATAATGTGAAATTTCCTTTATATGTGCAATGCTAATATATTCTTGATAACTAAATTTCTTTGCATTCCTTAAAAGTATGCATTTAAGAATACCAATGTAACTTCAAAAATCCATGAAGTTCTGGAATTTTTCTTAAAGAGAATACATCCAAGAATTCCAAGATAATATGATAACAATGAGTTCTCAAATTTTCTTTCTTTCTTTATTATTGGATGGAAGAATACCAAGATACGGGAAGAGCAGTAGTTTTACTTGTCTTGTAAACAATGGCAAGAACAAAGATCAAGTTAGTAGTTTTATACATATCCTAATGTATATTACCAATTAAATCTCAAAAGAACTTTACCTTCAAAACATTACGATATTCATTTCGTCTCCAGTGAGTTTTAGCAACAATTTCCACCAAAGAAAGACAGAAATAGAGCTCTGAACCTCTCCTTTAAAGCCAAAGCTTGCTAGGTAAGTACGAATGTCGTCTGAATGGCTGTACTTTGATGTCGCTAGCGTAAATGAAGCATAAGAAACCATATTAAGATGGTCAGACAAAAATGAAGACAGAAGATGAAAGAAACAGAAACATATACTGTCTCCATATAAGTACCAATATGTATGTTCCAACTCAACTTCAACCACAATAAATAATCAAAACACCTCTACATAAAGTAGTGATCAACAACAAATATCTTTCATCTCTCTATCTCCAAAATGTAAGCCTTAATATTTTGTTTTGTGTACAGGCTACAGCTATACAACTTTCCTCAATTACAGGTAAAGACACAAAATTAAAGATAAAAGAACATCTGTAACAAATATTAATGAACACAAACCAATAAACAGTCTATCATTTGATCAATATCCTACAGACTAAACAACCATTCCAAGTGATGAACATCATAGTAATCAGGCAAAATAAATTATGTACAGCAGCATCAATACAATAGAAAAGATTATCATATCTTTCTCCCATCAGCACCAGTCCATCTCGTGAGATACTGGATCCTTTAAAAGAAATTACAACTTCAGTGATGAAGTAAAATAATAAATTGAACAGAACTTTCTGCTCATCAAAATGCATCAGATCAATGTAAAAGAAACTAAAACTTACCAATGCCAATTGGAGAGATACCTTGTAGAAACTAGGTTAGGTTCAAACATAAAATGAACAGTCCAACAAGGAAGTAAATTTCATGGAAAAAAGAAATAGAGTTGCGATATTGAAATATTTTATTTGGAAGAAAATAACGATACTAGAATGGAGCAACATACTAGGGAGAAAAATAGTATCAATTTTCATATAAAGCATATGCCCCCATCATCAAAAGTAGCAAACAAATGAACACAAGAATTCATTGAAAAACCTCAACAGGCTGTGACTGTTTTGTTTGTGCAAGTAGCAAACAAATTCCCAGGTGCAATTAATCGAAACAATAGCACGACTTGCCATCGTTTTGTCACCTAGCTATGATATTATACGCAGCCCACCTCTACTGATTCAAACATTAACAAAAATAAGAGAAGACGAACCATATAATTCACTTCTCTTACGTGGCACAATTTTCCATTTTTAAGAAACAATCAAAATCAAAGTCTAAACCATGCAAAGGAAAATGGTCACTGGGGGTTTATGAAACTCTGTCCAATTTATTATCTTCATTAACAATACTACAAATCACAACTTACTTATAATTAAAATACTTACGTTTTTATATTTGAAATAACAGATATTATTACCAAAGAGCCATGTAAGTACAAAGAAAATTCAAATGGACAGCCCCAGTCTTGCAGATCAAATCATTCTTTAACATTCAAACTAGCTATGGATAGTAATCTAGACTATTCAAAGCACTAACTAGTTTTGCCTTCCTTCCTCCTCTAACGTGAATTTCTTCGACAATCATTCGTATAAGAACACCAACTGGCCTCAATTTGTTCTGAAATATTCTTTAGTTCCTCTCACGTGACACTGTATAAATACTTGCTGCTAGAGCCATTCGAAATTCTTGAACATCCTTAACCTACACTACACTACCACCGCCAGGGTGGCAACATAACTTATATTTTAAAAAAGGGGTTTATTAAATTTTCTTGAAAAACAACAATTCCTTTGAATTTTTAAAAAATTCAATCGAGTTCTTGAATTTTCCTTATTCTTTTTTGTGAGAGAATAGAAGATAATGGGAAGAACAGCAAAATACCAATAAAGATCAGGATAATTGATTTAGGGTTTAGTCTTTCAACGCACATCAGTCGCCGGGACGGTTAAGAGCGGCAATCCGGTGGAGAACTCGCCCGGTAGCGTGCAAGTTCTGCCTATAGATGGTGCTGACTGCTGGGTTTTAAAAATGCGTGCTCCTTTACAGTTATTAAAACTTGCGTATTTGATACTGCGGGGGTAATTAATACGCACAAAGTATATTACTTTTGTAAAAAATATATATATTACATTGTTAACGTGAAATTTGTTGTTATCATATAAAATTATATTTTAAGAGAAAATTATATATAATAGTAAATTAATAACCTAAAATAAATGGAGTAGCTAGGGTTGATTTAATTATGCTTTATAGCAAACGTTTGCAAAAGATTGTTGGGCGCCTCTCTCTCAAATATTCTCGCTCGCCACTCTCCTCCAATCTCTCGCTCGCTTCCTCACTTTTTATACAAACACAAGTGTATGAAAATTATTTTTAATTGTATAAAGCAGAGAAAATTGTATAAATACATATATTTTTGTTCCCCTCTCTCCTCTATTCCAGATCTCGCTCGCCACTTTCCCAAATCTCGCTCGCCACTCTTGCCTTTCTCACTTATACAAACAGAAGCGAAATGTATAAATTGCGTTTTTGTTTGTATAAAGCGTGAGAAAATTGTATATACACATGCATGTACATATATTTTCGTCTTATACACTTATAATTATGCAATAAAAATACTCCTCTGTCAGTTTCTTTTGCCTTTTTCTCTTTCTTGTTTTATACAATTCTCAAATTATATCTAATTTCCCTCTTTCTCATTTTATACAATTCGATTCAATTGTATATTCCTTGTCAAGTCTTTTTTGTCTTTCTCTCTTTCTCATTTTATATAAATTCAAATTGTATATAATCGTTTTATACACTTATAATAATACAATTCGTTTTATACAGTTCTCTGCCCATTGTTAGTAGAAGGACTGAAATCACTTACTTTAATTAATGAAAGATTAAATATGATTAGTGAGATATCACAGGGACTAAAACCAATATAAGACAATAACAGGGGGACGAAAATAATTATTTTCTCTTGAAAATATTAAAAAATATTCCAAACTTTTATATTTTATATAAAAGAAAATTTATCATTTATTAATTTCAACTAGTATTTATCTACCATGTTACTCCATTAATAACTAATAACCGTTCATCTTTGCTCTATGTAAAACATGGCAGAAAAAATAATAAAATATTTTTAATGAGTTATAATTCATCGTGACAAGATTGAATATGTGATTGATGTATTGCTCTTGAGTCTTGTCAATATTGTTATTTTGGTGTAGTTGATTGTTATCAATTTGGTTATAAAGTTATTTTTTAAGGTAACATATTTATTATAAATTAACAATACAAAGTTAAAAAGGTATTCATAATAATTTGTAAAACTTACGAATATAAATCATATTTTTAAAAATAATTTAATATCACTACCAAAATTTATGATTAAACGCATAGTGAAATTTCATTTAAAATTAAATTATCGAGAATAATTCAAATTAAATTTGAATATTAAAAAATTATTAGACAAACTTCGCATAAGTGCGGCTGATAAACCACCATGCTACGATAATTTTATATTTTGGTTCACGTTTTATTTTGGCAGGCTGAGAAGGAAGCTGGGCTACTATGACATTTGCGAGGCACCAGTCACAAAAAACGGAAGTGTACTCTTGAATATTTTTAATATACAATTACGATAACATTTTGGATGTCTGGCCCATTAGCTCAGTTGGTTAGAGCGTCGTGCTAATAACGCGAAGGTCGCAGGTTCGAGACCTGCATGGGCCATTACTTTTTTCTAATTTCTTCTCTTTATAACTCTTTACTATTTATTTTATGCATAAGGAGTGTGTATCGATTTATCCTAAGTACTAATTTTGCCATATGGCAATCCAACAAACCAATGAAAGAAAACCTTATCCTATATCTTATCTTACTCACAGCAAAACCACCAAAAATTATTTCTGCAATCTGACCATCCAACTGTCACACTTGTTAGTTTCTAATAAACAGAAACAAACAGCAGCAGAGAACTGATCAGAAAAACAAAAACAAAATGGCAGCCTCTCTACAAGCAGCTGCTACTCTTATGCAACCAACTAAGGTTGGTGGTGTCTCTGCCAGAAACAACTTGCCATTGAGGTCAGCTCAAAGTTTGAGCAAGGCATTTGGTCTTGAACCATCTGCATCCAAGCTTTCTTGCTCTTTGCAAGCTGATCTTAAAGATTTTGCTCAGAAATGCACTGATGCTGCCAAGATTGCAGGATTTGCCCTTGCCACTTCTGCCCTTGTTGTCTCAGTAAGTTAATAGTGTTTTGTTAAAACTGCTCATTTTTTGGAATGATTATCTTGTCATCTATAGTTCATGTTCCTTTAGTTTTGTGTCCCTTTTTCTTTTGATGTCCTGTGTCTAAGAGAGAAATTTGCAACTTAATCATGTAGGGAGCTAATGCTGAAGGAGTTCCAAAACGTCTAACCTTTGATGAGATCCAGAGCAAGACATACATGGAAGTAAAGGGAACTGGAACAGCAAACCAGTGCCCTACCATAGATGGAGGTGTTGATAGCTTTTCCTTCAAGCCAGGCAAATACAACGCCAAGAAGTTCTGCTTAGAGCCAACATCATTCACCGTCAAGGCAGAGGGCGTAAGCAAAAATTCAGCCCCAGACTTCCAAAAGACCAAGCTTATGACTCGCTTAACCTACACTTTGGATGAGATTGAGGGACCGTTTGAAGTATCTCCTGATGGCACTGTTAAATTTGAGGAGAAGGATGGAATTGATTACGCTGCTGTTACTGTCCAGCTTCCTGGTGGTGAGCGTGTTCCGTTCCTCTTCACCATCAAACAACTTGTGGCATCTGGAAAGCCTGAGAGCTTCAGTGGCGACTTCCTTGTGCCATCCTACAGAGGTTCATCGTTTCTTGACCCAAAAGGCAGGGGTGGATCCACTGGTTACGACAATGCTGTTGCATTGCCAGCTGGAGGCAGAGGAGATGAGGAGGAGCTCCAGAAAGAGAACGTAAAGAATACCGCGTCTTTAACAGGAAAGATCACATTTACTGTTACCAAGAGCAACCCACAGACTGGTGAGGTGATTGGAGTGTTTGAGAGCATTCAGCCATCTGATACTGATCTGGGGGCAAAGACTCCTAAGGATGTAAAAATCCAGGGTATCTGGTATGCCCAGCTTGAATCATAGACAGATCTTAGACTTTGTGGATCATTTCTTCGTTTTTGATTTTGTTATAAGTTACTACAAGGTTTCAACTTTCTATGACCCAATTGGATAAGTAATGAGACAACTATCTTCCTGTATATTATCAAGTATAAGTAATAATCCATTAACATACTGAGTTGCAAAATGCTGATATGTACTTAGATTTGCTAAGCGTTCCATCTCAAGAAAGTAAAAAGTTGTATGCTTGCCTAGACTCTGATATAATCGTCGAATCTGTCTCTGTATTTGGCAGCGGTAAGTATTGTTGAGTGATCCATCTAATGAGTCTCAGACACTTACCCATCCTGTTGAGAGATGTCAAATACTACTACATCCAGATAAGGCTATGAAATGGTGATCCTTACCAAGTACCAATCTGACAATTGACAAACAGCACGGTTCAATTCACAGTTTTAAGATGGATCTCCATGAAACAGTTATCTCGTTAATTTCATATGGAATACCATTTATCGCAATAACTTTAGATATAGCTTATAGTTTTTATATCTATTAGTATTTCAGAAAAAAATGCCTTCTATCTAAAGTTGCATTATTGTCGTTCTCATGTTCTCAAAGAAGACGATCATTTATATATATCTATACATTCCTACAAAGAATAAGCGCTCTGGTGAAGTTACTGGTTGGCTATAGCATATTTCTCGAGCAAGGTTTTGCTTATGAAGAATTATGGCGAGAAGCAATAACTTCATTTTAATTTCACACAAAAGGTCACTCTATAATCTATATAGAGAATGAAGGAGTATCACAGGGGATATCAGAATTATATGGTGGATCTTAAGAAATATGAAGCTACAAATCATCATCGCTGATGGATTTCTCAATGATGTCAATGCAGACGCCCACAGATTTCCCTTGAGTCATTGCCTCTGCAAGCTTCGATCGTGCCTTCTCGTGGCGTCGCAAAATGAGGATTGTGTTCAATACAGCCCATCTCACCTGAGAATCTGCTTTCTTCTGTGTAAATCCCAAGCTTTTCAGTAATGCATCCAACTGTCAAGCAGGAAAAATTTATTAGCCTTTGTTTAACATTTGGGGCCATTTGGTTGGGAAAAATTTATCCCTGGATAAGTTATAAGTCATCCTAGGACTACTTATCCCACCTCATCCTATCACTATGTATAATGGTAGGATAAGTTATCTCAAACATGGCGATCAAACAAGGTACGAAAACTTTATCCCATCACTATTTATTTCTATATAGAATCAATCATTTTGGTGAAAACTGAACAAATGTACAATATCTAGAGAAAGGATGTAGGGATCTCAGCCTTATACAATTGCATCAAGAAAAAGTAGCAGGTGGAAGACCGAGCTCTTTATGCATGAAAGTGAATAACAATCTACGATAAATCTAGGTAGGAGCAATATTGTTTAATGGAAATATAGCAGTTTCTCATATTAATAGCTCTTATTCTTCTTAGAACAAGAGTATATAAGAACTGCAGTAGCTGTTTATTGCACTTCAAATAGTAAAATTCTCAGTGTACCATATGATGTCTTTAAATGTCCCACTCAGTTGAGATATGAACTGAGCAAAATAAACCTAGAAAGTTAGATTTTCTTCAGATTATAGGAGGCATAGGAATAACATGAACCTGATTAATGTCAGACAGACCTCCCTCAGCATACCCAAACAGAAGATACTCAGTTGCTACACCTGCTAGCGCAATACATGAAAACCTGTTCAGCATCTGTTAGAAGTGCATTATTAGTGAAGGAATCATATAACAGGTCACAGAAATAAACATACGTGATAATTATGACAGAGATCAATACCGTGGCTGTTACTTTTCCTCTATTTACCTGCACGGCAATGAATCAGGGTCAAACTAGAAAAAGAATAATTATACACAAATCATTATTGCCCAGCCCAGAAAGCTTAAAGGAGAAGAAAGAGTAATATTCAAGGAA